AGAATAAATAGAACTGGCAAAAAAGAAATATTCAAGTTCAGCAGCTATTTGCAATTGACAATTGGCAGCAATCGATCGGGCGAGTGAAGCCCGTTTCTGATTTACTAATCGCTATTCTAAGTTAACCTTTTTAACAGTAACAAAACGCTTCTAGTCGATCGTTCAGTACGAATATAGCCGGCTGGGGCGAATTGTCGGCCGTTTTGTAAAGCAGTTTCTACAGGTACGCTCCATGATACTTTCTCAATTTGTGAATTGTTCCCTCGCCATGGTGTCATAAATAGCGCACACCACCGGCTCAAAATATCCCACTATTGTATCAAGATCGACTGCTCCTTTTTTTTCTGTTCAGTATATATATTTACAAAGTGCCTCGCGACTTCCCTTGAAGATCTCAAACATTTACGTTTTTAGAAAAGCGAAGTCACGACTTTGAATAAATTACTTTCGCAAACTTTTCTTGTTTGTATAAACAGTGAAATGCCGGACTTAATTTTCTGACGGATTTCCACGTTATTCGAGGAATCAGTTGAGATAAATGGGTAAAATGATCGACTTGAGGAGCGGGGCAAACGCGGTGAACGCCTTATATAAACTGCCTTATGTAATTATTCGCTCTTCCGGAACAAAAAGCAGACTAGAAAGATAAATTACCAAGTCTGATGGGTATTGGTTTATCTTCGGCGATTATAAATGCCTTTCTTCTAACTGAGGAAATTTCATGGAAAGGACTGAAACATGAATAAAAGTAATAGGAGTTAACGAGTTCGTCTTCAGTATTCTTTGACCAAACTCGACTATATCTGCTACAAATTAAATCTAAGTGTAGCTTACAAAGTTTTTCTAGACCATGAAAACTGACCGGGAAATTATGATTCACTACTTACCACTTAAAATCGCGCTTTAGTCTGACCTTTTAGTCTGTTTTGTTTATTGTTTTGTTTGCCAAAAATTGTACAAATCAAATAAAATCTAATTACTTAAACTCTCATGGCGAGGAAGCCCAAGAGAAGCCACCGGGCTTATAAGGAATGGGCTCCCTCAGTTAGATAATTAGAACAAAATATTATCATAATTAAACATGGGAAAATCAATGGCAGAGCTACAGTAAATCTTAAAATAAGTATATTAGATAGTCGTACTAATCATAGTTCTAGGCTAGGTTTTTGTTTAGCGTTGAAAAGAAATCTTTTTTGTCAGCCATATATTTCGTCGTCATTAGTCCTGCAGGTTTGAAGACTGTTCCAAGCTACTTGTGATGAGGACATTTAATTGTTTTGACTTTAAAAAAGTCTTTTCGAGAAGGCGCCAACGAGGATAAATCATATGATAACATAATTGACCGACTAACATAAAATGCGAGTGACATCACAATGAATAATTGGAAGATAGTACGCATGCTCAATGCTTCCACGCGAAAAAAAAAGGAACAAATGGTTTCCAGCATTTGTCAAAGCATTGGTTTCACCAATTCCAAAAGCAGTTTAAAAAGAAACTTGGAACGGCAATTTTAATGAAACAGTTAAACAGAGGCTCTCAGTTGCACGTTGATTAAATTTATGCCTAGAATTTTTTTTTATCTATTTTCGACGCCCAACATGACTTTACAAGCACTTAGCTATTTTAGAATGTTGGTGAGATGCGATGGATTCGTTACTGCTGGGACCGAGGAACTTCTTCGATAATCAAACGAGATACTGACATCCATCCCGTGCGACCTTCTGAGTTTCCATAACCGGGACAGTTTCCAATGTTGATGCCAACGCGGATATTCCCTTTTCTGATGTTGTCACAGTAGCCCTCTATTGCTCCGTGTCTATGGTCATCTATATTGCTACTTCTGATCCACAGAGCGGCGTCAATAGGCAGAGGACCGCTACACTCGGCGCCGTTGAAAGTGATGAACCATCGCTTACAGCAGGTACTGCATTGTCCCAGATAGATATTTCCTTGGAATACAACATGAAGAGTTGTATTGTCTTTAATTTTAGTAAACTGGCAATCCTGAAAACACAGCATTATGTATTGTTAGCGACCACTGCCACACAGAACATTGTGAAATATGATTCACGTTATCGTTATTATTCAAATCGTAACGTCTTTTCGGTTAAGGTTGCAATTTTGTGACTATGTTAAGAGAGTTAATTAAGGTCTTAGAGCCACCGATATAACGCAAAGAGCGATGCGTATTTTTATTTTGGCACACATATGACCGCCCAATAAAATGTCACTTAAAGTAAATGTTTGCGGATTGCCTTAAGTCCTCTGTCCTACATTTTTTCCTTAGCTCATACACCACATCATTTCTAAATTTTCTAATGGCACATTTATATCGGTCGGGTACCCGAGACAGCCCTACCGAACTCTCGGCTAGCCAAATGACTTCAGGTCCTGGTAGTTTATCATTACTGCATACCGATATAACGAAAAGAGCAACGCGTATATTTATTTTGGCACACATATAACAGGCCAGAAAAATTGCCCCGAAAGTAATTGACGGAAGAATCCTATTGAGTCGTCTGCTCCACGATTCTTTCCTTTCCTTATCAACACATGCGGTGTTTTAAGGCCACATTTATATGATCTCGGAAACCCGAGACACCCCTACCTCAGATTGACTCTCGGCTATCCAACTGAATTCACTTCATCGTTGAAAAATTCAGCCGACTGCAGTTTATATGACAATCGCAATTTTGCCTAGTGGGGGAAGGGGTAGGGTAGCTTGAGGGAGGGGGCGGGTGGAGAAGCAAGACGAGGTAACCTGAGGTGTTCACAGCGGTCAAACGAGTGAAATTTGCATCAGTTAAGCGAAATACTTCAAAGTTAAGGTTGCTACTTTCACTATCGAAAGTTTAGGGTATTACCAACATCCTGTTAGTTTACTAAACTTTTTAAAAGTTTACTAAAAAAGTCCTAAGTGATTGAAAACCGATGCTGACGTTATTATCGGTGCCATTTTCAAACATGATTCTCTTTTAGCGCGAAGCGTTTTCAGCGAAAAAAGCTCAAAATTTTGAGAAAAATGGAAAGATAGTTATGTTGACTAACTGATTTATACATCTTTGCCCATTTTTCTCTAACTGGTAAATGAAATCCCAGCAATAAAAACAAAAATAACGATTTAGACGTTTGACCGCGGTGGTCCTGAGGTGTAACCTGCGATCAGGCGGTCTTTCTTCCTTTCTTCCTTCCGCACTCCCTGCAAACAATCCCTGATCCTAGGGTTTTTGAGGTGGGGTTGACTAGTCTCACCAAAAGGAGCAACTATTTCCCCACTAAACACTTTGTTCACGCTACCTAGACTACCTAGGACAACTGACAGTCAGCTGTGTGCTCCGTATAGCAAAGTTCATGGTTTATAAAAGGGATTTTCTATCAGATAAGCTCGTTTTAGGTATCTGATGACCACAACTATTGACCGAATGAACAACCGAGTTAAATTCCCATAATATTAGATGTAAGAGGCTGCGTTCGAAGTTATGAAGGGTACAATTTGAATTTCCCTTTATCTTCGCGTTAAGGTTAATTGAAAAACAGTCAAACACAAAGACAAGAATAACCGACAAAAGGAACCTAAGGACTGGAACATTTGAAAATCGCTTCTTAATGGCCTTTAGGTTCAAGAGTCCTGGCCCTATCTATCAAATGTGACTCCCTCGCCTCAGTTTTTATTGCTAAGTAACTCCGACTCTAAGAAAGAAATTTGCAATTTTTCTCCCATGCAGTCACCTTAATAAGGCCAATATCACGGCCGTATCCTTTTTCCACGCGCACTGTTTCCAGTTTCTTTGTTCAGCAGCGACCTTTCCAACTGGTCCCTCTTCTCCTTTAATACCACGTGGTCCTGGTGGTCCTGCCACACCCTTCTCACCCGCTTCTCCTTTAAAACCACGTGGCCCAGGTGGCCCTGCCACACCTTTCTCACCCGCTTCTCCTTTAAAACCACGTGGTCCAGTTGGACCTGACAAGCCTTTCTCACCCTTTACACCATCTCGACCGTCACGGCCTGGTAACCCATTATGTCCATTCACACCATTTCGTCCGGGAAGTCCAGTTGCTCCTTGCGCGCACAAACTGGGATTCTGTGAAATAAATAAAAAAATTGTACAAATCAAATAAAATCTAATTACTTAAACTCTCATGGCGAGGAAGCCCAAGAGAAGCCACCGGGCTTATAAGGAATGGGCTCCCTCAGTTAGATAATTAGAACAAAATATTATCATAATTAAACATGGGAAAATCAATGGCAGAGCTACAGTAAATCTTAAAATAAGTATATTAGATAGTCGTACTAATCATAGTTCTAGGCTAGGTTTTTGTTTAGCGTTGAAAAGAAATCTTTTTTGTCAGCCATATATTTCGTCGTCATTAGTCCTGCAGGTTTGAAGACTGTTCCAAGCTACTTGTGATGAGGACATTTAATTGTTTTGACTTTAAAAAAGTCTTTTCGAGAAGGCGCCAACGAGGATAAATCATATGATAACATAATTGACCGACTAACATAAAATGCGAGTGACATCACAATGAATAATTGGAAGATAGTACGCATGCTCAATGCTTCCACGCGAAAAAAAAAGGAACAAATGGTTTCCAGCATTTGTCAAAGCATTGGTTTCACCAATTCCAAAAGCAGTTTAAAAAGAAACTTGGAACGGCAATTTTAATGAAACAGTTAAACAGAGGCTCTCAGTTGCACGTTGATTAAATTTATGCCTAGAATTTTTTTTTATCTATTTTCGACGCCCAACATGACTTTACAAGCACTTAGCTATTTTAGAATGTTGGTGAGATGCGATGGATTCGTTACTGCTGGGACCGAGGAACTTCTTCGATAATCAAACGAGATACTGACATCCATCCCGTGCGACCTTCTGAGTTTCCATAACCGGGACAGTTTCCAATGTTGATGCCAACGCGGATATTCCCTTTTCTGATGTTGTCACAGTAGCCCTCTATTGCTCCGTGTCTATGGTCATCTATATTGCTACTTCTGATCCACAGAGCGGCGTCAATAGGCAGAGGACCGCTACACTCGGCGCCGTTGAAAGTGATGAACCATCGCTTACAGCAGGTACTGCATTGTCCCAGATAGATATTTCCTTGGAATACAACATGAAGAGTTGTATTGTCTTTAATTTTAGTAAACTGGCAATCCTGAAAACACAGCATTATGTATTGTTAGCGACCACTGCCACACAGAACATTGTGAAATATGATTCACGTTATCGTTATTATTCAAATCGTAACGTCTTTTCGGTTAAGGTTGCAATTTTGTGACTATGTTAAGAGAGTTAATTAAGGTCTTAGAGCCACCGATATAACGCAAAGAGCGATGCGTATTTTTATTTTGGCACACATATGACCGCCCAATAAAATGTCACTTAAAGTAAATGTTTGCGGATTGCCTTAAGTCCTCTGTCCTACATTTTTTCCTTAGCTCATACACCACATCATTTCTAAATTTTCTAATGGCACATTTATATCGGTCGGGTACCCGAGACAGCCCTACCGAACTCTCGGCTAGCCAAATGACTTCAGGTCCTGGTAGTTTATCATTACTGCATACCGATATAACGAAAAGAGCAACGCGTATATTTATTTTGGCACACATATAACAGGCCAGAAAAATTGCCCCGAAAGTAATTGACGGAAGAATCCTATTGAGTCGTCTGCTCCACGATTCTTTCCTTTCCTTATCAACACATGCGGTGTTTTAAGGCCACATTTATATGATCTCGGAAACCCGAGACACCCCTACCTCAGATTGACTCTCGGCTATCCAACTGAATTCACTTCATCGTTGAAAAATTCAGCCGACTGCAGTTTATATGACAATCGCAATTTTGCCTAGTGGGGGAAGGGGTAGGGTAGCTTGAGGGAGGGGGCGGGTGGAGAAGCAAGACGAGGTAACCTGAGGTGTTCACAGCGGTCAAACGAGTGAAATTTGCATCAGTTAAGCGAAATACTTCAAAGTTAAGGTTGCTACTTTCACTATCGAAAGTTTAGGGTATTACCAACATCCTGTTAGTTTACTAAACTTTTTAAAAGTTTACTAAAAAAGTCCTAAGTGATTGAAAACCGATGCTGACGTTATTATCGGTGCCATTTTCAAACATGATTCTCTTTTAGCGCGAAGCGTTTTCAGCGAAAAAAGCTCAAAATTTTGAGAAAAATGGAAAGATAGTTATGTTGACTAACTGATTTATACATCTTTGCCCATTTTTCTCTAACTGGTAAATGAAATCCCAGCAATAAAAACAAAAATAACGATTTAGACGTTTGACCGCGGTGGTCCTGAGGTGTAACCTGCGATCAGGCGGTCTTTCTTCCTTTCTTCCTTCCGCACTCCCTGCAAACAATCCCTGATCCTAGGGTTTTTGAGGTGGGGTTGACTAGTCTCACCAAAAGGAGCAACTATTTCCCCACTAAACACTTTGTTCACGCTACCTAGACTACCTAGGACAACTGACAGTCAGCTGTGTGCTCCGTATAGCAAAGTTCATGGTTTATAAAAGGGATTTTCTATCAGATAAGCTCGTTTTAGGTATCTGATGACCACAACTATTGACCGAATGAACAACCGAGTTAAATTCCCATAATATTAGATGTAAGAGGCTGCGTTCGAAGTTATGAAGGGTACAATTTGAATTTCCCTTTATCTTCGCGTTAAGGTTAATTGAAAAACAGTCAAACACAAAGACAAGAATAACCGACAAAAGGAACCTAAGGACTGGAACATTTGAAAATCGCTTCTTAATGGCCTTTAGGTTCAAGAGTCCTGGCCCTATCTATCAAATGTGACTCCCTCGCCTCAGTTTTTATTGCTAAGTAACTCCGACTCTAAGAAAGAAATTTGCAATTTTTCTCCCATGCAGTCACCTTAATAAGGCCAATATCACGGCCGTATCCTTTTTCCACGCGCACTGTTTCCAGTTTCTTTGTTCAGCAGCGACCTTTCCAACTGGTCCCTCTTCTCCTTTAATACCACGTGGTCCTGGTGGTCCTGCCACACCCTTCTCACCCGCTTCTCCTTTAAAACCACGTGGCCCAGGTGGCCCTGCCACACCTTTCTCACCCGCTTCTCCTTTAAAACCACGTGGTCCAGTTGGACCTGACAAGCCTTTCTCACCCTTTACACCATCTCGACCGTCACGGCCTGGTAACCCATTATGTCCATTCACACCATTTCGTCCGGGAAGTCCAGTTGCTCCTTGCGCGCACAAACTGGGATTCTGTGAAATAAATAATTTGTAAGACCAAACGAAAGCAAAACATAGCCTAGATATCGCGCGGCACTCGACATATGAGGGTGTATTAAAAAAAGTATATATGGTTATCTAATCTAAAATAACCGATTAGGGACTGGTCAAAAAGTATGGGGGGGGGGGGAGGGTGGGTTGGTGCATTTGGAAATGTGGCTGATAAAAAATACATGACCCACCCCCTCCCTTCGGCAAAAAAATGACTGACCCACCACCCCCTAGTTAAAACACGGATGTTTGGTTTCCTCTTTATAATCCAATAAAACCTTGTTCTGTGCTTGACAAAATTTGTTGATACACTGCTACAACCAGTATCAAAATCACAGAAATCATACCTTTCACTGAAAAGACAAATGTGAAAAACCGAACATTTCTTGTTTCGATGGACGTTATGAGTCTTGACACAAATATACAGAAAAACGAGGGTATATTGAAATTGTCTGTCACAAAGCATATGAAAATTTATACAAAGACAACTCATTCCTACACATAACTTGCCAGAAATGCTTAGATTAATCCTCAAAGAAAATTTCTTTCACTTCAATGGAAAGCACTACCTACAAAACCATGGAACTGTAATGGGCACAAAGACAGCAGTTTTGATTCCTTTGCCAATATTTTCATGACATATATTGAAACAACAACTCTAAGCAAAACTGTCTTTAGAACAACAGTTTGGAAATGCTACATACACGATATCTTTTCCCTGTGGGACATGAGTAAACCAGACATCGAAGCCTTCATTGAACAAGCAAACTATTGAATTCAGGGCCGAAACATTTGACACTGAGACTGTGTTTTTAGACACGGTTGTATACAAAGGCACAATATTCAAGGAAAACTCTATCCTTGATGTAAAGACACATTTTAAACAAACGGAAACCTTCTTGCACACACATTTCACCTCGTGTCATCCTCCAAATGTTAAAAAAGGATTTGTCAAAGGAGAAGCCTTGAGAGTCCTACGAAAAAACTCCTCAGAAACAACCTTTGAGGAAATTAAAATAATTCAAATTTAAAAAAAAAAAACCCTTGATGGACGGAGGGTACCCACAATCTTTGATAGAAAACCTACTATCAGAAATAAAATCCACAAAAGGGGGTCTACACCTCTAAAACAAAACAACAAGGAGGAAAAAGAAATATTGCCATTCGTGACACAATATCAGCCCTCAGTGTCTACTACAAAGGAAGCTTGACTGAGAAAACGGAATCTTTTACAAAACTAACTACAACTTCAATAAATTTTTAAAGAACCACCAATCATTTCCTTACAAAAAAGAAAAATCACTAAAGGACATGCCCGTTAGAGCCAAAAAAAAGGTTAACAGAGGGTTCCACGTCCGTATAGATGTGCTTCCTGTCACCCTTTGTATTTTCTCGCACCACAGGTTTGTGAGTATTCTAGCCATAGGCGTACGGGCAATTTTTTGCCGGGGGGGGGGGGCGATAATCCATTTGCCCAAAAAATTCTTGCAAGTTGCCCAAATTTTTACAAAACGGTCGAAAGGAAAGTAGGGTCATGCAACAAAATAGGCCGTACTGGCATATGAAAGTGGCTCGATACAGTTTTTCAGAGTCAATACCTGCGAAGTTTGAGCATAAACTACATCGCCACAAACAAGCATTTAGAAAAAATTGCCACCACAGTTGTATTAGATAAAGAGGGAAATTTGTCATGATCAGGGTTGCAATGACATCGGAGCTGTCATAGCAACGAAATGACGTCATTACCTATTATACTTGCAGGAATATTTCTCACTGGGAACTGTTCTTACAAAATCGTTCAGGGGAGCTCTTTCCTCCAATAGTGGCCTTGATGTTCGTGAAGTTAAAACGGAACTATAAGAGCGTTATTGAGATATTTTGGGATGAAGTTTTTATTGCTAGAAATAAGGTAAAAAAGGAAAATCTTGATGTTTAGTCATAATCTGAAGAAAGCAGGGCGCTTTTGACCTGCAATTTCACCTCATAGTAGTTTCAATCTTTTTAAAAACGTGGACAAAAGATCATGGAGATAGCTCCTGCCAATTGCTATAAGGAAGGATTTGATTAGCGCACGATCTTGTTAGAGGTTTTGAAAACATTTCGGTCTACTTAAACAAATTAATGAATAATTTTTAAACCGCTCGATAGATTTTTTTAAAAAAATTATGATTTTTCTCGTAATTCAAACTGAGAATTAGTCAGCCACTTCACTTTCAGACCCATTGCTGATGCGTGTTCTGCCACACACTGTTCTAGGAGCGGAGGTGATTCTAGAAAGTTGTGCGGAAGTTTATTCTAATCAATTCACGACTGGAAATAGCCCACTCCAGCTAGTACAGTGAAGTACAGTGCCCAACAAAAAAAATCAGCATATGATACCCTTCCCTTATAGCCAGAAACTCATCACGTGCTAGGCAACCACTGTCTCGTGTGAGCGTAACTGAATTTTTACGCCGACTTCTGGTTAAAATAGAAAATATTTATCTCTTCAAAATAATAATAATAATAAAAAAAACATGGAAACGTCTTTAAAAACTGGCTTTGCCCAAATTTTCTCTTGCTGCCCCAAAAAATCTGAGTTGCCCAAACTTTGGGGAGGCTGCAGCCCCCCTCGCCTCCCCGGCCCGTACGCCTATGATTTTAGCAATAATTCCAGCTGGCTGTGTTTTATATAACAAGTGTAGTCAACTGTCTCGTTAGTAGTTAGTGCCTATCTATGTAATGAAATAGAGTGACCCAACTACTAAGGGTAGCTGAAAATTGCACGACCCACCCCTTGCACAAGGCTCAAAACC